GTTTACCCCTCAAATGACATGTGGCAATGTCTGGAGACATATTTTATTGTCAAAACTGGAAAAGTGCTATTGGCATCTAGTTAATAGGGGCCTGAGGTGCTACTAAATATCCTAAGATACATAGGATAGCCCTCACAACATAGAATGATCTGGGCCAATGTCAATAGTGTAAAACTTGGGAAACTGCTATGGTTAGAGATGGATCTGCCAAGGACTGGCACCGAAATCAAAAAACAAATGGGAAAATTGTTATTACACTGACTGTTCATTTATTCTAGTCTGAAAGAAAATTCTCAACATTATCACCTTCATTCAATTTCATCAAAACTGCCAGGAGCCAAAAATAAATCATTATTTCCTAATATTCCTAATATTTCCAAATATTCCTAATATTTTCAGGATTATTTTAAAAATCCCATAAGCAAACTTGGCTTGGTTTTAAGATTATCATGGGATGTCTTCAAATGTTATGGAAACACTGAATGTTTCCAAGAGCACCAAATGCAGTGTCCTTTGGAAGGAAAAGGCAAAGAACAAGAAAGTGGGTAGAGAAGGTGACAGATGAGGCCCACTTAATAAATAAGTCTCTTGAATGACTTCCAAAGCTTGTTCACTGATCAGAAAAGTATTGCATTTTTAAATGCAATTAAGAAGAGCTTTGAAAGTTCACTGCTGTTTGCAATTCACTTTGAAATGCGTCAAAATACAGCATGGATTGAAGCTGGATAGGAAAATGATAGTTGGATGAAAATGTGAAAAACAAGAATAGTACCATGTTACTGGTAAACTTTGGATGGTGGGTTTACTATAAAATCATTCAAATTTGCTCTATGTTTGAAAAATGTTGTTATAAAAGGTTGAGAAAATGTAGTTTAATTCCCCTCTCCTTATTTAGAAAAAGAAATTCAATACCAAACCATATGGGTTTAAGTGGACTATAAAAATATTTCTGGCAAAGGTTAAACTTTTGCTCCAAGAGCACAGCTGCAGAGGGGGTACTTGGAAAGTGTTCCACAAAACTGAATCATTGGTATCTCCTGAGATCTTGTCAGAAATGCAAAATCTCAGAATTCAAGAGATTCTCAATCAAAATGTGCATTTTAACACAAAAGTGATTCCTGTGCACATTAAAATTTAAGAAATACTGGAGTTAATAGAAAGATCAATGACTGAGCAGACTCAAATTTGTTTTCACTCATCATACATTTTAAACAGTTTATGTTTTGAGTTGTCTCATGTTCCTGGCTCTGTTTTAAATGTTGGGAGGCAACAACAAATGAGACAAATTCTTGCTCAAATTTTAGTGAAAGGAAAGTCAGCAAGCAATAAAACAAGTTATTTTAGAAAATATGTGTGTCATGTAGAAAATAAAGAAGGTGAAGATATTAGGAAAAAATGGTTAGAAACTATATTAAGGAACTCAATACATACTAAAATGGTCCTGAATAATAAAGTGACAAGCAAAACCAGGGTAGAAGACAGAGGAAACAGCAAGGGAACAGAAAATGTAAAAACTCTGAGGCAGGAGCTACATTGAATATAGCACATCATCTGCCTAGAACAGATTCTTCATCTCCAAAATGAAGGTCTCGGACCAAAAGACCTCTGAAGTATTCTGAATTATCTGATGTCATGACTATTTTTTTTAAGATTTATTTATTCATGCATACAATAACTGGGGTGTAAGTCAGAGGTGCGGGAGGTGAGAGGATTCACCAGAGACAGAGTGGGGAACAGAACAGACAGATGTGCTGAAATACACTGCTGAGGGGAGCAGTGAGGGAGACAGGAGAGGTCTGCTGTGCCATGTGGGTGACTCCCTGGCCAGCCGGGATCAAATTTGTGCTATAGTGGCTGGCAGTTACTTCATAGCACTGTCTTTAACTTTAACCCCTGCGCCACCAGGGAGGCCCATGTCATGACTATTTTTAAGATTATGACTGATCTGGGCCTCCCCTGGTGGCACAGCGGTTGAGCGCTGGGTTGGGAGGCTGCCCGCAGCCTCTGCAGTGCCAGTTCAATCCCCAGCCACCGGTGAGGGTCCCACCAAAAAAAAAAAAAAAAAGATTATGACTGATCTTGGAAGAATATGGAATTGTATTTTTAACAAGAACAGCTTATATCTACCTTTTTAAGGTGACGGTATTACAAAAGGCACATGGCCAGTGGTTCTGCTCAGCATTTGAGTTAGCTCACCATTTATAGATCTTTCTTCTGGCATTTTCTTCCCACCTAATTCCTCAATTCATACAGACAAGTCAAAGATAATTGATAATTATAAACACTAACGAAATGCTCAGGAAGCTCTTGTACAGAGGTCCCTTTGCATCGTGTTCCCCATTCAGGTGTGGGTTCCACCTGCCATAGAGGTCAACCTCCCAGCAGGTAAGACTTGAGATAAGTCCTGACTACAAATGGGCTGAGAGATGCCTAAGTCTTCCCCCATCAAGCATCCCTTGAGTTTCTCTGGAAACTACTTGAATATGAAACAATAGCAAAACAAGAAACAAGGAACCACGTTATACAGCTCTCTGCTAAGACTGAGTGGGAGTACATGGCCGGGCCCAACACTACAGTGAATTTTATCTTCCCCTCAACCCTAAATCCACACCTTACCAGCATCAAGCAACTGGAAGAAAGAGAATCCTGCCAACCTCAGCTGCAGCTGTTCCTCTTGCTATGTTTGTCATCCAGATACACTGAAGTGAGTTTAACACATGAAATCTACTCTACTCACCTTTAAGCCTTGAGTATGCTGTTCCCTCTGCCTAGAACACACTTTCCACCCAGGGCTCACTTCACCTGGCTAAGTTCTGCTCATCCTTTGGGTTTCTGAGTTCTCTCCTATACCACTTTGCACTTCTATTATCAGCGCCTGTATCGCACTGTACTATGACGCTGTGCTTACTTGTCTGTAGTTCTTAGGTTGCTAAGAACTATGAGGAGTCAGTCATATATTGTTTGTGTTAACCCAGAATTGTTTTTCTCTAGCACTAGTAAACTAAAAAACCAAAAAACTAAAGAACGAATATAATTTCCATTTGTCTCTTCATTAATTTTCATTTTTTAAGTTTCTTTTAAAGATTTATTTACTTGTTTATTTATTTATTTATGCTTAGAACTGGTGTGTAGGCCAGAGATGCGGGGGTGGGGTGTGAGAGGACTCACCAGAGACTGAGTGGGGAACAGAACAGGCAGATCTACTGAAACACGCTGCTGAGGGGAGCAGCAGGCAAGACAGGAGAGGTCTGCTACACAATGTAGCTCAGCTCCCTGACCGGGGATTGAACTCAGACCATGGAGGTCACAGCACACCAAAACTTAACCCATAGGCCACTAGGGAGGCCCCCCTTTATTAATTTGCAAACCTTGTTCAGTCATCTTTAGATTTCTCTGTGTAATTTCCGACAAGTTTTCTAATTCTTTTAAAAAGGAAAAGTTTTAGAATTGAGAACTTGCCCTCCTGATAGCTTAGCATCCAAAAAGGAATTTCTTTTCAAAAGAATGGAAGGGAACTACAATATTTTCAAAAATACAGGCAAACTTTTTTAAAAAATCTAGGAATCCATGACTCCTGTAACAAAACTGAACTAAATATACTGCTTTAGTCATCATTATTCTTCTAAACCACTTTGAGGAAACATGTTTTGCTTTTTGTTTTAAACAGGAACAGATTGCTCAGGGTTTGGGAAAAGCCAGACAGGAATCAGAAAGTCGTTCCTCTTTCATTTACAAGCCCTTGCTTGCTGCCTAGTCCTGAGGTGTGTCCTGAGCAGCAGATAAAGCAATGTCCTTTCTCTTCTTCAGTAGGCTTTGTGTGGTGCTGGAGAGTGACAGACTGAGAGGCCTCCTCCAGCTGCCAGTGTCAGGGATGAGCACAGGTGAGCACAGAGGGGACAGTGTTCTGCACCCTGAACACAGGAAACTGAACCCAAGGAGCCCAAGACTAAATAATCAAAAATAAACTCTTCAGTTGCTTTGACTAGCTCTGCTTGTTGTGGAATGATTAACCACTCACCAGATCAAAGGAAGAATAAGCAGCTGATACCTGCTCTAAATTCCTTCTGGCATTTTCCCTCTGACTCTAAACCAACCTATGCTTTTCTTAATTTTTGGAGGTAGACAGAGGGAAACCAGTATTTACTGAGTTCTTCTTATGTGCCAGGCACTGTGCAAAGTGGTTTACATGGACTGTCTTACTTAATCATCCAGATAACCATGAGGAATCAATTTTTATCCCCATTTTGCAAAGAAATTGATGCTCAGAGAAAGCAAGTAACTTAGCCACTTAATTAACAAATAATAGGTTTGAACCCAATTCTAATGAATACAAATCCCAGTATTTTCTTCCTGCACCTGGGTATCTTTGAAATCAGAGGAATGTAGCCAACCTTTTAGAAGTAACACAAAACTTGAAAAGGTTCTAGAACATTCATAACATCATAGGAATTACCATTCTATAGGAAACTAATAGTTCGTCTTAGCTAGAATATTGTCTCTAAATGTACTGATATATTAAAGACTTTTCTGATGGAGGATTTTGACAAATGTTGACTGTTTACCCAAATAATCCAATTAAGGATAATCTCAGCATCTATTAATAAAGTATTCCCATCTTAAACTACACTCAAAACTACCCAACATTTCTCTGGATGTGCAACCAACTTTTGTGTTCCACTTACCTTTGATATGCTATTCCTTAGCCTAAAATACCCATCCTCTGATTCTCCATCTATTTAACTTAGAATTCTGTTTTTAAGTTATTTATCCTTTAAGACCCAGTTCTATAATGCCTTCTGCACTAGCCTTAACCACTTGGAACTATCCCTAGCATTAAATATCTGTACTTTATAGCACTTATTCAGGGATACTTTAGCTAGGCGTGAGACTGAATGACCCTTCAAGGCAAATATTATTTTTAAATAAATTTTTTATGGAAGTAATATTGCATTATATAGGTTTCAGGTTTGCCTCATTATCAATCAACATCTGCATATTAAAAAAAATATGAAGACTTCACAAACTTGCATGTCACCTTGCTTGAGGACCATGTTAATCTTATTTGGTTCATTCCAATTTTAGTATATGTACTGCCGAAGCAAGCATAGGCAGAGATCTTTAATATGGGGGATAACTATTTAGAAAATAGAGACAATGTTCTAGTTAGAGAGAGGAATAAAGTGCTAGTATGTGCAGATCACATATTCCAACATGTCTAAAACTAGTTCTTCCAGGGATCCCCATGGCCAAGGACAAGGAGAGGATATGTCTTGGAAATAATCAAATTCCCCTCATATAGTCTAAGGAGACCTCGAGCAGCATTTCTAAATCTTGCCTCCCTGCCTGTATCATTTGGGGTGATATAAAAAACCCTGACACTCAGGCAATACCAGTTACCAATTGATTCAGATTCTCTGAAGATAGAACTATTTATTATTGTGCTTTAAATGTCGTTGGATGAGTACAATGTACAGCCAATTTTGAGAACCACTGCCTCAGAGAGTTGAGAAACTGGTGGGTACCTGAGATGAGATGGTGATTCAGTTTATCTAGGTGACATGATTCTACGGCATGTTGGCTGTGGATCACACTAGAGAAAACTTTGTCAATTGTAGAGGGAGAAAAACTCGAGATAAAGTCCATTTAGAGGATGAAAGGCACTATCTAGTAGTGAATAGTTGTTACAAATCTGCAAATTCTTACCTATTCCCAAGGACAAAAGTGTGAATATTCTTTTGAGAAGAGCCTTGCACTATGTAAGAATGTGGAGCAGGAAATGTGATACAGCACAGCACTGCAATCTCAGACTGTGTCCATTAAGTTGTATCATTCTCCAACACCACCTGCACTCCTGAAGTTTCTGCTGAACAATGGCACATACTGACCGAAATAATAAGGATGTAGAAGGACCCTTATTGATTGCAAAAGAAAATTCGCCTTTAGGGCAAAAAGCAAATGTTTCTAAATAATTACATTTGTGCAAATATGCTTAAAACAGCCAGTAGGAAGAAGAAAGATTTTTCCAAGGTTGACCCAAAATGTCTCTTAAATTGTGCTTTTGCAGTTGATATTAGTGTAAGATATTTACAGACTTCTATAAATCCATAGATTTGAAGAACAGCATTATTTTTTTTAACTAACTGAAAAGAACATGTGTTGTATTGTATTTTTAATTTTAAAACATAGTAAAGATGTTGTTTTGGGATTATGATCTACCTACCTGAAGGCCAGTAGTCTTCATGAATATATTCATGGACTGGCAAATATTTGATACATTGTTCAAGCTATATTGTAGATAATTATCTCAAGTATTCAGGGGGGTGGGTATCAGACTTTTTAGAAATGGCATGCCAACTCTTCCAGTGTCTTCTTCATCACCAGAGAAAAGATAGTCCAGGAAGGCAAAATGAAATTTTCTCAGAAGTTCATGGTATTTTATAGCAGCACATTTCCACACACAAAAATACTGAGATGAGTATTGTGTACCTTCAATATGATCCCCTTTTATAATGCAAAGTCTATCTCTAATTTATTGGGCTGCGGCTCACAGATACATCATTAGAATAGAGCAACTGTTCACTGCCCATCTCTGTAGCTCCCCATCAAAGATGGGGAGCAGTGCCTTTGAACCAGCAGCCCTTCGACCAAGAACCCTGGTGGTTTGGGAATTAAACTTGGAAGCTGTGGGTGGTTGAGCTGAATCTAATTCGTGGAACTGGGATGCCTCAGTATCTGACTTACCGAGCTATTTTATCACTGTGTTTCATAGGCATATCATGAGCAAAGTCACATATCAATTAGATAAGTTACTTTAAAACTGTTTTTTTAATGCAATTTATTTGACAAATATCAAACACTACTTACTTGTCACTCTTGACTTATCTATCACCACTTCCTGGTAGCTGGCTACCTAAATCTGCAACTGTCCTTATTTGTGTGTTCTGTTGATAAGCTAAATCCAGTGGCAAGGTCCTTTGCTTAGTTCACCTTGTCCCTAAGCAAAGTCTTATTCTGCCCATGTCTTGATAGATTCCGTGCCTTTAGGTCTTCCCTCATCTCAACAGTTTCTCTGAGTCACTAATTCACCTGGCAGGTATCCATGGGTTTCAACCTTCATTGTCTGAGCCTCTCTGAATTCTAATGGTTTTAGAATTACACTAGCTGCTCCTGTCACCTCCTGATCATTCTAGTTTCTCTACCCAAAGTCCTCTGTGTCCTTCTCTGTATCTTAAACAAAGATTTTTTCCTTTTCTTTACTTTTTAAGTTTCCAAGAAGAAGCCCATGAACACTTGATAAATATAAATGAGTTTTTATTGGAAAGTCCTTTGGACTAGCATATGATATCCAGTGGTTTCATCAGGGGTGAGGAACTACAATGAAAAGGAGTAGCTATCTTTTCTCTCTGGAGATCTCCCAACCTCCTTACTTACTCTCGGTTTTCTGCTGTTTCTTTATTATCTCCCTGCAAAATGGCGAAGACAGTCACATCATAGCCCCCTAGATTTTATCTACTCAGTTCAACCCCAGAGTGTAGGACCTAGGAAACCAAATTTAAAACAGCCGGACTTCAGTGAGCTCGTCACTCTTGGTTCAATAAGCTATGGCCTAATCAGGTAGGAAATTGTGATTTCTGGGGGAACTCTTCTGGGTAGAAGAGGAACTGTTTTCAAAGCAGATATATGTATTGTGTTACCAAAGCCCCTTTATTCTCTGTAAATGTCCTTGACTCTGCCAGAATTTAGGTTTTTAATCCAGATCTTTTTAATAGATGCATTTTTTTCCTAGGATGACGTTTCGCAAACATTTTCAAAGCAAAGAAACTCTATTCTTTTTTTTAACAAAATATACCAAAGACATAAACAGGGAGAAAAAAACCACAATTGCTCTGCTTGAACAGAGGAAGGGAGGGAGCAGATCCACCTCATTATATTTTACTTCATGATGCCCCTGATGCCACTTCCTCCCCTAGGGAAGCCACCACACTTTATCTACAACCTAAGATAATCACTTCCATTACCATAAAAAATGTTATACTTTATTTTCTGGATGTATCAACTTTAGACAGTATCTTTTGACTGCTTACCATAAAAGATAAAGCACTCTAACTCAATCCTACTTTTCCTCTTTCCCTTCCTAGTTTGGAGAATTAACTTATTTTAGTCTTTTTCTTCATTACTATTAGCTATATATTATATATACTATATTATTATTAGATATTATTATTAGAATTTTATTATTTATTTATTATTAGAATTTTATAGAATTATTAGAATATATTATTATTAGAATTTTAAACATACATAAAGAGCATTTTGCCTTTTTGGTTTAGATAACATCTCATCTCTCTACCAACTGAAATAACTTCCTTGCTTTGCCTTTCACTCCTGTTCCATTCAAATGCATGTGTGTTTTGTTTTGTTTTAATTTGTTTGTTTAACAATCCACCCTCTTACACTATATCCCTATTCTCTCACTGGTCTAGGGATGCAAAGTCTAATTCACAGCTTAAGCTCCTGTGAGGCAATGAGAAACGTGGTTTATATTTTTCAAATGGTACCACTCATGAGAGAAAAAGCAGACAGATAATGGTGTGGTGGTGGAAGTGATAGAAACCAAGAAGTTGTAATCTGCATTTGAAACACACTGGCAAGAGGGAGAAGAATCGGCCCTGAAATTTCATACTCCACTTTCCTTCACCATTGCCTCAATTTTTGTTATTCTACAAAATAGATCAGACATTGCCACACTCAATCACTGCTAGGTCCATTTTCGAGTAGAGGCAGCTAGTTGTCTAGCTTGGCTTGGCCAGGGACATCCCATGCCATAACCACAGGCAGAAACTGTCTGTAAGATGCTGATATTATTTTTCTTGTTGACAAATCAAACCATCGCTCAGTTTCTTCCTCATGCTGTCTACTGCATTCCAGTTCTCCTATGAGACAAATGAAGATACTTTTTCAATCGACCTTCTCCATCGATGTTACTGCCCTCTGTAAATGATTTTCTTAGTCATTCACTGGCTCTCTCGGGCTCACTTTAGTTTCCACGTAATTGGCCAGTAATTCAACACTTATGTTGGAGAAGGTGCTGAAAAAGTGATATGAAATGAAAACTTTCATTAGCACTAAATGTGGGGATGGTTTTTAGAAGTGGTGATAAAGCATAAAGAATACACAGGCAGAACAGATTATCCTGACCATGTTAGGAATATGAAGAGGCCACTGGGAGACTCTGTGGAGTAACCTTCTCTAGAGAATTTTTTCCTTCTACATTGGCTGTTGTAAGTTGGCTATGGGTTTAGGGTGGTTCATTCTCTGAACAGGAGGGAAAGATTTTATGAGTTTTCCAAGTTCCATCTAGTCGAGGCATATTAATCATCAAATCTTTCATTTATTTTGAGTACTTATTGGAATTTAGGAACTTTTTTAAGTGTGTGGTCTTATTTGATCTTCCAAAAAATACCGTGAAGTAAAGTAGGCAAATATTATGTGCTCTCCTTATTTTATATTTGCAAAAAGTCACATGGCAAAGACAAGGCAGAAGACTCTTTACCAAACCACATGGCCTTTTCCACTATCTGCCCAGAAATTCACCAGCAGGCCCTAGGCATAAAAATGTTTAATCAGTAGTTTACCAAACAGGGTCCATAAACACCAGGCAATTTTATATTTCCCACACTCTCCCTATAAAGGTTAACTAGTGGGGAACATTCTTCCTTTGACTTGTATAAAAGTCCTACGTTACTTCCGGTCACTCCGGTAATGAAAAATCTACCTGTCCTTTCAAGATACAAACACAGTATTAAATTCATAATTAAGATTACTTAATTGTATGCAAAAATCAAAACTTCAAACCAGATTTAGAAGTAAAACTTCTCCCTTCTCTTCTCCTGTAAGACTTTTGATAAGTAGGAGGTCAGCAAAGAACTTGGGATAGGGGTTGGGGGTCCTTCTTTGTGCCTTTCCTTCAACATTTTGCTAATCTAGTTGTGATCCTTTTGTTCCAAAGGTCAAAGAGTGTTGAGAGGAGAAAGGTGGGTGTGGACAGGAGAACTCTCACCTAATTAGTACTATCATAAAACTGTCCTAGGCTCTCTGGTGAAT